TCCCAAAACACATCCCACCTTCTCTGAACTGGGGCCAGAGGGATGAGGGACAAGTCTCTGGTCCCACCTTCCCTTCCATGCCTAACCCAAAGACTAACCCAAACGCTCACACGTGTATACTAACCCCCAGTAACATTTCAGGGGGGCGAACTTAAAGGTTCATCACCTTTAACCTCAGCAAGACACCCCCCCCAGCCCCCCCCCCCAAGTCATTGTGTATTTCTAAACTGGACATTGTGTTTTTCATAAACTGTGACCAAAGCCTGAACCGGTAGCTCGTCTCGTGTCTCCCTCCCCCGTTCCTCCTCCCAGTCAGGTGTTTTTGTCTCCAACACAGAGGCGTTTGGAAACAGAAGGGAAGAGAAGTGTCAGAAAGAGGTAGCGGGGGGGATCGGGTGAAGCAGGGATGTGGCTTGAGAAGGATGAACGGGCGTCGAGAGAGTAAGGCTGAAGTAAAGGGGTGAAAAGTGGCAGGATAAAACCGGTCGTTTTTAAAGTTGGATTCATTAATCATATGAGCTGATCTCAATTTTAGTTTTTTTTTCTTTTACTGTTTTCTGCACTTCAGACACAAGACATGGATGTATGATGCCATTGGATTTTACAGGGTTTCATTATTTTCAAACACTACATTTTATCTGTGGGTTTGTGAGTGTGTGAGAGTGAGCATGTGTGTGTGTGTGTGTGTGTGTGCCTGCGTGTGTGAGTGTGTATATGTGTGTACGTGTGATCGAGTTTGCAGATACAGCACTTCTTATTTTTATTTTCATGGCCGCTCTGCTATTTCGTACCAAGACCTGTGCTCATTGTGTCAGACAGGATCATTTCTCCTCCCCATCACTGTTTGCTGTCTAATATCATTCATTTTTACATAAACCATCTGCTTTTCTTTCTTTTTTGGTTCTGATTCAGCACAATCCAAAAAGCAAATGTTGTTTCTCAGATCTTTTAACATAAGGTCTGCACATCAGCTGTGCGAGCTTTACATTTGAGTCTCCTTTTATTATTTGATCCTTACTGGGATCGCAAGGTGTTTCATGAAAAAAATAAATAAATAAAAAGAATAATAAACAGAGAAAAATATATGCAAAGTTTGGCTCATGTTTTGTTCCTTGCTTTTATGAATTGAATGAAAAATACAGGATGACCAGAAGAGGGCATCATCCTGCTGATTGACTAAAATTAACAAATGCACACATCTGCTACTGCCTCCTTTTATTATGAATGACAGCTGATAAAATACAGCTACACACACACTCTGACAAAGACCAAATTATTTAAAAAATATACAAAAATACTGAAACCAGAAACTAACTCATTAAATGAATAATTATGATTTTCTTCCTCTTAAGTGTTGTCTCCATTGTTGTCATTTGTTGTCATAAAACATTAAATCAGGTGTGCCCAAACATTTTCCTTGAGAGGGCAAATATAAAAATCTATTTAAGGGCTGCGGGAAAAATTTAAAAATACAATACATGAAATGCAAATACTTCCTAAGTAAAGTCAGTTAAATAAAGCCAGTGTGGTGGCCCACATTTATTATTTTTTATTTTTTTAATAGCCTGGGCACTTGGAGAAAGTTTGCCATAAGCTCGAGCAGCAAATAGGACTAAAAAAAACTAGATCCTCTGGATGGGTTTTTCTTTAGTGAAAAGTTTTGTCTCTCATCCAAGAGACTTCTTCAGTCTGAAGAGTTTCAGGTGAAACTCAGCTTTATAAGCACTGCCTCCACCTGGACAAACAAGTTAGTCAAATGCAAAATAGGGCCATCGATTAACAATAGGCTTGATTGGCTTTATTGTTCATAGAGGGTCGTGTGCCCCATCACCTGACCCGTGTTGTGTTATGTGAATGTAGTGAATGCAAGCGGGGGTTCAATATCCCCTGTTAATCATAAAATCCTGCTGACAAAACTATGCAGTTTAAATTTTTCCCCAGCAGCACTTAAATGGATTGAGTCATATTTGACTGACCGTTCCCAGTTTGTCAGAATCCAGTCATATCATTCAGCAGCTCTCAGTCTGTCAACTGGTATTCCTCAAGGATCTACCTTAGAACCTTTGTTGTTCTCACTTTATATAAATGATCTTCCATCTGTTTGTGCTGATGTATCTGTTCAAATGTATGCTGATGACACCATAGTTTATGTTCATGGCAGTAATATCTCAGGTGGCTGAGAAGCTCACTAACTCCATGCTTAATATCACAGCTTGGCTGAGACACTCTTGCCTGCAGTTAACACATCTAAGACCGTGGCAATGTTTTTTATTTATTTATTCATTTATTCATTCATTC